TGTTGTACCGGTTATGTAATCGTTTCCTCCAAGAAAGAACCACTGGGTGCAAGGTAATATGAGAAATAAATTTCTCTTTGTAACATAAATCCCATGTACGATTAAAACGTTTTTCAGTTTTTAGTTGTTGTTTTCCGCAAATGGCAACGCCAATACAAAGGTCCTAAATAACCTGCGCATTCCCCGCAATCCGAGGTATCTTTGATCAGATCTCTCACAAAAATGTGTATCATTTGTTGTTTAACTAGTTTCTATTTTAATTTGTAAATCTCTTTTCTTTTCGTTAGCTGCAGAAAAGCCAATCCTCCCTGTAATTTACTTGAAATAAGACAAAAGTAACCCTAATTAAACTTACCACGCATTACCAATATTGTTGTTGCCTTTATGTAGGTTTACACATAGTAAAGACCTTCTTCCCTAGCATCACAATTGCTTATTCATCAAAGATCGTTTTCATAGGAATAACTGTTTTAGGAACTAGGTTTTTTGGAGAATTTTTATTCCATATTTTTTCTTTGATCATCCATTCTAGTATTGCGTCACTCAGAGAAAGGAGACATCAAGAAGGCAAACAATTGTCAATTAGGGAGTTATCTTTGAGGCATTCAAGTGCTTTCTGGGACTGGCGAGAAAATAAAATGAATAATCAATACATGACCAAGGGGGCTCATTATCTGACGATTTTTTTGATGATTCTTTCTTTCTTCCCAAAAGGTACAACGAAGCGAAAATCAAACAAGGGTAGCCTTGTTGGGTAACGGGAGGATGGGGGAAAGAGGGCAATAGAAAGAGTGGGGTCGACAGAGCCAGCTATGTATGACAGAGTCAGAGGACTAATAAATTAAAGATGTAAAACAAGATGGTGGACAGGACGGTAGGCAGAGATTGCACAACAAACGTTAGACATCATCCAGATTGAGGCCACCACTGGTACTGTGTCATAAATTCTGAAGAACGAACGCAGAAATTCCATACTCTGATGACTTAATTGTCAATACTAAGATCTAAGGTAATGCTTCTGATTGGTAGTGCTGCGAAGGAAATTTGCTTTAACCAATCAGAGGCACTACCCAGATCTGGAAAGTGACTCACCATCAGTATGGAAGTTATGTGCCCGTTCTTCAGACGTCATTTGGTGGGGAAACCAGTGGTGCCATCCCAAAATGTTGGCTCTTTTCTAAGGACAGACATCGTTCCATCTCTCTTAGATTCTTTTCTTTTCTCTCCTTTTTTCTGTTTCGTCTTTTAGTCTTATTTGATTTTCCTTTTGAACTCTTGTTTGTATTTTATCTCGGTGGTTTGTAGCTTTCTTGACTTCGGCAAGTACTGACATTTCAGATAAAGATCAAGTTGGGTTGGTCTAGCACATTTTCCATAGGAATGAAAGAAAATTGAAGAAAAATTTCTCTCTCGCGTTAAAATTAACTAAACACAGGAAATGAAAGAACAAATATAACTAGTCCAACAAATGTGTTTATTTGATAATACCATATAATCCTCTAAGAAAGCAAGTACGAAATATAGAGTTATCTGTAAAAAAAAAAAAAAAAAAATGAAATTGCTTATAACAGCGAGACCATTAAACAAATGTATTCTTGACCAGTAACCCCAGCACACATCTATGTATACAAAAATTTTGAATACTTATAGTAGTACTTATAGTGACAGCCTGATGGAATCTTAATACTATTTGATTCTTTATTCAACATGGTCAATTCAGGGAAGTTGCAGAGGCCTGCTTGATTAAACCTTGACTCAAAGAAAATCTTTCTGTAGTTCCTTGTAAGTTACTCAAATACTTGTACAGGGAATATTGCGAGAAATATGGCAACCTTTAAGTGAAATAACTGTATGCAGTCTTAGATTTCACTGATCGATAGGCACGTTCCTGAAATGGATCTCTAAGCTAGTCCCTACCATATTCTCGCGTGTATGATTTTCTTTGACTATCATCTGGGAAGCACCTGTCCATTAAAAGGCTTTGTCTGCAGGGCATTGCTGTTTTATTACTGTACTGAAGATATCACTTAGTACATGTACTTTTACCCTTACAGAGGTATATATCGATTACTTTTACAAGGGAGCAGGAACTATAATAATTTTCAGGATGATTTTTTGCAGCCATACGTACCATTAGATTTTTTTAAAAAAAGTTTCAATCCATTTCCATCTTTGTCATCCTTTGCAACAGACCACAGAAAACAGTTTTAATGCTAAAAATATGTAATATAGTCTTAAATCACAAAATTAGATCATTTTTTGGAATTCAATTGATGTGAGGAAAGTTTTAGCGTTTTAAAAAGATAGAAAGGCAGACTTTTATAGCCGGTCCCAGTGATACGATGTCCATCTGACAAAACTGACTGTGGTTTGTACGCCACCGCACATTTAGGCAAACACGTGTTATATTACGGATCCAGTTTACAATGGAACCTTTGTGGGGATTTGGAAGCAAATTTCTGGTCGATTTTTCATCATGTCCTAATTAGATGAAATAGCGACCTTAGATTTATACCGCTGTGGACTTCTTTTTATGTCTTCAGCGATGCATGAGTTCATTCGAATGAAATTTCTTGGTAGTCAAATAGTCAGGATTTGAACATGTTATTTCACTCTTTAACTTATTTAATGTCTTAGTGAATATTAAAAACATGTTAATAAAATCGCACAATTGTTCACAGAAGTCTTTCCTTTACTTACAAACTAGACACCAACATTAAAATCCTCTAAAAAGACCAAAGAAATTCCCGAATTAAACACTTAAAGAATAAGATTGTGCAGGAATATAATGAAAGAAAATGATGGTTAATTGACTGACTTTGCTGAGAATATTATGGTACTTTGTCTGCGTTAATCAAGGCATTCTTCAAAGGTTGTCAACTTATGCACCCAGTTCGCTTGTTATTTTTGTTGTTCTTGGTAGTTTTTGAAAAAAATAAAGTCAAGCATAAGAAGTATGAAATCTGAACGCGATCAAGGTATGAAGGAGGAAAAAAAGAAAAGAAAAATTGGTATCATTTACCAGTAAAATGAAACAAACAAAAAAAAACAAATGAAAATAGCGAGAGCAACTCAATTCTGACCAAAGCTCACACCACCGACAAAAGCAACCCTTCACCGTGAATTTTCCAATCAATTTACTAACTACTATCTTATTTTCCTGAGTTTGTCCCTGAAATAACGACAGGCCTAAGTTCAGATCGATTACGTTTTTTTTTTACTCCTACTAAAGCTATTAAATGAGAGTTTCAAAATACTTTTTTAGCATGAAACTGTTTTTTTTTTTATCTGTTAAAAATATTTATCCTGATCTCGAAAGATGAAGTGCAACAACATTATGCCGGTATCAAGGGAAAAAAGAAAACAACAACAACAACAGTAACAAAAACAAAATCGTGTCTCCGCCGACTTCAGCAGTCAATTAGGTCAACTGAAACTTGCTTCAAGACGTCTTAAGCCAGGGTAAACCCAGAGTTATAAATAAATACAGGTCTTCAGAAACTGGAACTTTGCTCTGCTGGAATCTCTATCAGAGGAGAAAGAAAACCTGATACACCTTTCTTTAAGATAATATCACTGGTGTTGTTTTCCATAAAAGTATCAAGATCTGGCATTGAAAGGAACCAAGGCGCAAATTCCCACTAATATGCGTGTGTAATAACCTGCCTTTCTTAATGATATTTAAGACTACGAACTATATTTTAAACGCTGGGAAAAGGGGGTGGAGGACACCTCAGCAGTGGTCAGTATTAAAGGCATGTAAAAACACTTGACCCGAGAAAATGAAATTTATGTTAACGTGTCTTGTAGTAAGTGAAATTTATTGCTGTTAAATACTTTTATGGCCATTATAATCTGATAAAATAAGGTTCGATTATTGAGATATAAATATAATTGAAAAGATCAACATGTTTATTTCTTTTGCACCTTGCGAACCAACCACAAAACGGACATTTACATTTGAACAAAAAGAACCGAAGTGCTGGAGCATTTACATGTTAAGTAATGTTTACCCTTCATGGATACATGCCATATTATTGATTTTATTAAAAAATAGTGGTTTTTTTAAGCGTTCTTATATGCAAGGTTACCTGTGTTTGACTTTGGCAGAGTATCAAAATGGGCCCGGCATGAGCGATTTGATGAAATTAATGCTTAATGTCCCCGCATGGAAAACAAGACACATATAGAGGTATATGACCACAATGACCTATATCACTCATGAGAACGTGATCGCAGACAGTTGTTCCAGAAGGCAACAAAAATAACAACGATCTTCCTTTCCTTTCCGTTGAAGGTTACTTAATTTTTACTGTGTTATCATAACAGTATGGAGAAATGAAATCAAAATGGCCAACAGTGACGTGATATTACATTACTGCAGAAATATTTTGCATGGTGTCAGTTTTAACTTCTGTAACTAAGTGTCAAGACATTTTTGTTTAAAACAACTGACACTTAAAAGACCATGATACTGGATCTTGCAAACGAAAGGGACTAATCGATTTAGATAAAAGGCTAAAATAAAACAGAAATATTTTGTTGCACCATGGAAACCATTTCGGGAATATTTCGAGAATGTCTCTTATATTGTGTTACGACAGTTGTTATAGGAACGTTTCTGAGGGGAAAGATAGGGGCAGTGAAGGATCATTCCAAGCTCAATCCTGTGCGTTTTATGTGTCATTAGCCTGAATGCTTGCAACGACAAAGAAAATGGACACCATCAAGTCATTTTGGACGAGCGATCTCTGCAGCGAAAGCGATTTTCAGAATAATTTGAAAATAAAGCGAACTGTTTCTATCCAATATCAACGAACTCAAGTACTACTTAGGGACTTGCCGACTGTTTTAACAAATATGACAATATCCTAGGGAGATTAAGAGATTCTAATATCATAGAAGTCTTTGAAAACATATAAGTTCCATAGCAGGATACAAGTACATCATTAATCGAAGAACAAGCTCGGTAAAAAGACTGAAAAGAGAGCAGACCGGCTATGGCTTCAAAATTTGTGCTCCTTCTTTGTCTCGTAGCTTTAATCGCGCCACTCTGGAGTTTCCCATTGCAAACAAGAATAGGTAGGTCTAAAATACGATTTTAAGAAACCTTTTACTGGTATTTCAATTGTCACTTTTAAGCCTTAAATAAAGGCAACCGCCTTTGATTGTGGTAAGCGACGAATAGCCAGTTGTGTTTAAGTAATTAAATTGCACTACGTGGTGTATTCAAAATAAGTCTTCCAAGGTGACTTGTGACTTTTCTTTTCTCAAATTAGCGTAAACTTAATGGTAAATACTCCGCCACAAGAAAAGAAAAAGATATCGAGGCCTCTTAAAGCCACTTAGGCATACCTGCTTTTAAGGAATTTTCATCTTAAACCTACGAAAAAAGTGCCTCACCTTAGAAATTTCAATAGTAAAACTGTCTAAATCACACTTTCTTTGATTTTAAGTTAAACGTGACGAGTCTTCTGGAAGCGTGGAGGATAATGGTCCGGATGATAATGGAAACGGCGAAAGTGAAAGCGTTCTTGATGGTAAGTTACTTTAAACTATCCTGACTTTGTCTTTTTCTCTACTAGTTTTGGCAGTCTTTCACACTCGGGTACAGTTAATGTTAAGTGCGCACGGGAGAAGCTACAATATCTATCTTGGCAGTAACTTATCCACTCTATCCCTTCGGTAACTTTCGGGTCGCCGAAGCATTTTGAAATCGAGACGTAGATGTCGAGTCTAATTCGGAAATCAATGTAATTTGAATATCATCTTTGGACTGATCTTCGGTCACATTTGAATTTGCTTTCTAATCAACATAGTATACGTCTAGATACTCTCAAATGTTTTTCGAGATAATTCACAGTCCTAACCTCAACTCAAAACGTCGAAAAGACCAGACGACGACTTCCCAATACTTTAAATAGTAATGGCACTAAAGATACTGTTTGGGTCAACATGAATTAGAAGTGATGTATATTACATTCATTTTTATTTTGCCATTAACCAGAAATACAAAAACAGCATACAGAAATACATTAAAGATAATATACAATATTCCAACTAAATTATTTACAAGATCAAATGTGGTAAAGGCAGGGAAGCCTATGTAGAAGCCGGGGGCTTATAGACTATAGTCTTTCTGGAACTATAGGGTAAACCATACAAGTTAAGGGTACTGAATGAAAATTTGAATTAATTAAAAAAAAAAAGAAAAAAAAGAAAGAAAGAAGAGAAAAGAAGACAAAAAGGAAAAAGAAAAGGTGTGTAGCTCAACAAAGACTCAATTTAACTAAGAAAGAAGGGATTTTTTTAAGTCTTTTGCCAAACAAACTGATACTTTCACTGTTTTGAATTTCCCGACTTAGTTGAAAAACGTAGGACCTTGAAACCGAATTGAGAATTTTCGAAAATTAATTAGCAATGATTAAATGATTTTTGTGAAAAAAAAATCATTCCAGGGAGTTGTTAATTAAAGCCTTTAAGCTAAATAAAGACGGATTGAGTCCTAAATACAAGTCTTTTTTTCCTCACAGGAGATGAGAGTGGTGATGAAAGCGTTGATGAGGATGACAGTGGCGATGGCGATGACGGTGACGATGATAGTGGTGATGAAGATGGAGATGATGATAGCGGTGATGGTGATGACAGCGATGATGATAGCGGTGATGAAGATGGAGATGATGATAGCGGTGATGGTGATGACAGCGATGATGATAGTGGTGATGAAGATGGAGATGATGATAGCGGTGATGGTGATGACAGCGATGATGATAGCGGTGATGAAGATGGAGATGATGATAGCGGTGATGGTGATGACAGCGATGATGATAGCGGTGATGAAGATGGAGATGATGATAGCGGTGATGGTGATGACAGCGATGATGATAGTGGTGATGAAGATGGAGAAGATGATAGCGGTGATGGTGATGAAAGCGACGAGGATGACAGCGGTGATGGTGAAGATGGTGACGATGACAGCGGAGATGACGATGGTGATGACAGCGGTGATGACGACGAGGATGACAGCGGTGATGATGATGACAACGACGAGGATGACAGCGGTGATGGCGATGATGGCGACGACGACAGCGGTGATGATGATGGTGATGACAGCGACGATGACAGCGGTGATGACGACGACGATGACAGCGGTGATGACGGTGACGATGACAGCGGTGATGACGACGACGATGACAGCGGTGATGACGACGACGATGACAGCGGTGATGACGACGATGATGACAGCGGTGATGACAATGGCGAAGACGGCGATAATGACAGCGGTGATGGCGATGATGGCGACGATGACAGCGGTGATGACGACGATGATGACAGCGGTGATGAAGATGGCGAAGACGGCGATGGTGACAGCGATGATGGTGATGACAGCGACGAGGATGACAGCGGTGATGGCGATGACGGCGAAGATGATAGCGGTGATGACGATGGTGATGACAGCAGTGATGAAAGTGAGGATGGTGATGATAACGGTGACGATGGAGACGGTGATGACACTGAAGACGTTAGTGACTACGGTGATGAGAACAATGATGCTGGTGGTGTTGCAAGTCAGAATGATGCATCTGACTATATTGACAAAGTTATGAAGGGAGATGATGCTCATAGTATGGTTGGATTCGAAAACTTATATTCCTCTGGTGGACAGAGAACGAGCCATGGTGTTCTTTCAATAATTCTGGGTTTATCAACAGTCTTACTTTTTAACATCTTTTATTAACACTTTTATGCAACACAATGAAATGAACGAACGAACTCCAAAGCCATATGGATTATTACGACGCTTTTAAAAGTATAATAACCATTAATTTATTTAACATTTGATGATCGGTTATTCTTATAGAGAGTTTTGCACAAAGTTTTTGACAACGCACGGACGTGTATGTTTATAATGGTGTACAAAGAAATTGACAAAAATAGCGTAAGCTATTCGCTCCAATCTTCAATAAAATAGATTTAACAATTTAAGCACTTGCTTGCATTTCTTGATTGTTGCATTTTCTGAATTCTAACTGTAATAGGCCTTCACATAAAGCAGCCTGCTTTGCTGTTGTTGGATATTAAACGAAGGGAATCGTATATAAAAATGGTGGTATTATAGCTTTATCCTTCATTGGTCCACTGCGCGTTCGTATTTCAATTTCTTTAACCAAATGTCAAAGGGAAAATAAACTTCAATGGTTTATTAGTATCCTCGTCCAGTGGGAGGGGGTGGGATTGGGTTGCGATTTTTCTGCCACATAGACCAGTATGTACACCGGCACCACTCTGTATCAATAAATTATCTCTGTATTCAATAAAGAAATATCAGCTCGCTTGAGTACAAACTTTAACGGGGTAATACAACAGCTAAACACGTTTACTTCTACAAATTTTCAGTTCGAACAGTCCTTGTCTTAAAATGAATACCATAGTCTTTATAATTTCTTTTAAAAAAATACATCTTAAAGACAGATGTTTCGAATCGTTTCCGGTCACCATGTTGGTGTCCCTCAGATGGATACCTACATGGTGTCTCCATGCATACAGAGCTTTATTAATTTGGGTGACACGTTTGTTTTGAGTATTTGATTCGAGGCAAAACGTTTTGCATATTTCAGTATTTACTTACATTTCCCAAATTCTGGATTTTAGGTATTGGATGGCTTGTATTTTTATTTTTGATAGCTTAACAGTGTCTCCAGTGGCATAGGTGAGAAATTTTGGACTCATCAAAATGTAAAGCAAATGGCTGGGGATAGTAATCCTTCCGCTTGATTTATATTTTTATTTTTTGGGTCCGCAGTAATTGGCTTTAGCTGTTGCGGTGTCCCTGCCCAAATATTTAAGTTATCATTAGTGTATTGTTACGTTCTTTACTAGTGTTTTCATATATTCAGTGTTTTTTTGTTTTTTGTTTTTTTGTTTTTTGTTTTGTATTCTTCAGGGCAAAGCTCATAAAATAAAATAAAATAAAATAAATACTCGGTTTAAGTATTAACATCACCGGGTAGGGTTACTTTGCATCCCCCCACCCCCCTCTATTCCACTTTACGGGCAAGCTTGACGGAAAGTACTGATCGTGATCGCGCATCAATGCAGAGCAAAGTTATCCCAGGTTGTCCAAGTTATCCATGATGAAAGTGTTTCCAAGGTAGGTAGGGCACAGCCTTAACGAACTCCTTGTTAGCAGGCACTAAATGTGCTTTTGACGTAAGACGGTCTTTAGGGAAAAGTTTACATCAAGACTCAAGCTATTTGCCTCTTCACAGTCAGATAATAAAGTGAGTGGTTTTCTATCGGAGACTTCTTTTCGGCCCTTTTTATTGCATAAATTTGTTTTTATTTTATTTTGTTTCATCTTGATTTTTTTTATTTCTGATTGGAAATAATAGGACAATTTTGTCACTAAACAATGACACCGATGACAATTCGATCATCGAGGTCTTTAAGCTGGCTTGTTTTGGTGTCGCACTGCAGATTTAATCAAGCCTAATAGGGTTATGGATATCTTTCATCATTTACTCTTCAGTGAGGCTGCTTCCGTAGAATACTCTACATACGCGATCGTTACATTGTGTCATACTGAATGTAACTATGCAGTCATGAAGTTAATCACGGGTGATTTTGCCGCATAAATAGCCTACGCTAGTCAGTAAAACTACTAGACGTTATGTAAAAGCCGATATCATGAAAGTTTTAGATGGATTAGGGTTTATTGAAAATAAGAAACACTTTAGCCCACCCAGGTTGTGTTTTTTTCGATCTCATACAATAGATTCAAACAATGAAGCCTTTGGCCTCCATTTTTAATGTAAAAAAATGTAAAGTAATTACAGAATCATCATATAGCCCAATATAGTTGCTTAAGCAATTGCCAAACAAATGCTAGCGACACTACAAAACGATATTTTGGTGACAGAAGAACGATATTTTGAACTTAAGGTACCTTCTACATTGACAAAAATAAGAAAACAGATTGAAATTCATCGAGGAACGAAAACAAGGTTGGAGAACTGTGGTGACACATGTCCACTCAAGCTTTGCTGCTTCTTTGCCTAGTTGTTTTGTTGAAAGCATTTTGGGGTGCATCTTCACCAGCTCCAGATGGTAAGAGGTTTAACAAAATATTTTTTCTATTCTCCATGTTTCCTTATTTAAACCCTATAACAAGTCAAATGCAAACGGTGATAGCTTGCCATCCAGTTACGTACAAGAGCATTCCTTTAACCTATCCTTATTATTAAGTATATTTTCAATTAATTTTGTCGGTGAACATGTTTACCATCGATTTTTAACTACTGCACCATTTTCATGTGATATTAGTTTGATATTTCATAGTAGAAAATGAAATTAACCCTTTTGTCTAGTGAACCCCTATAATCAGCAATTGCACTTAACACAGTACGGGACAAAGCCTCCTCGGGTAAGAGCATTTCAATCAGATAAGCCAAAGCAATTTAAATGACTATCTTGGTTTTGAAGACTAATTCAGAGATATGTTGCTCCCAGACTTAGTCAGCAATGAAATTCTGTAGCCTATAGCTTGAAAGGCTACGCTAAGTTTACCTTATTTCCCCTTCACCAATTTTCCCAACAATTATCCATATTTTATCTCATTTATATTTTGTTAGCAACGAAAATGACCCATTGGCTATATGGTGACTATACTGACTCCTTGTCTATGTTTTTACATGTACATGCTATTATGCCTTTCTATTGTGGATACATTACCGACAAGAAAGTTTTTGTTTTCTTTTCGTCTACAGATTATAATTTTTTTTCCTATGTATCATACCTTCCTTTTATCGTGGTTTTTGTACGCTACCGATTTGTCAGTTTGCCAATGGCCTAGATCGATCGAAATTGATCAGGGGCACGGCAATGTTTGGAAAATATCTGTTCGGAAGACGATTTAAGATCTAGAATTTTCGGAACATTTGTTGATAAATTTCTTGCTTACCTAAGTAAGTAAGTAAGAGACTTTATTCTATGGGGGTAACACGTAACAGTAAGTAAACATTACTGATCAACTTGTGGCCCTCTAAAAATATAAAAATACAATTTATAAAAACTACTTTAGCAATAAATTATTATTTACGATAAAAAAATTCCCAGAATTCGATAAAATAAAAATAAAAAACTACTTAAAACGAAGAGCATCCAATATCCATCCATTGTCATTAATTTAGGTCAAACGATCCCTTTGACTTCTGAGAATTTAAATATTTATTTTCCATAATTCAGCCTTAAAGGATTTCAAAGACCTCCTTGTTTTTGGTCATCGGGGTAGATTGTTCCAGTCCTTTACAGTTCTTACAGCAAAGGTGCGTCCTAACTCTGAGATGTTCTTGTGCAGAGGGCACAATAAGTTCACATTACGATTTCTCGTGTTTCTTGAGTGAACATCGGAGTTTTTTCTCAGAGATGCGCTTAAATAGTCGGATAACTGACTACCATTTATCCTTTTAAAGGCCAGTTCACAACGTTTAATATACGCTTCATTATAAAAGAGGATCCAGCTTAGGTTGTTAAATAATGTTGCTGTTCGACTTGTGCATTGTGATTCAAGAATAATACGTGCGGCCCGTTTCTGCATACGGAGAACTCTCTCAAGTACCTCTTTGTTGCACGAAGTCCATACTGTGCTTGCATACATCATAAGAGGTTTAATTACTGCGTTAAAATAGATTATCCTCTGGCAGGGGCTAATATGGCGTAAAAGACAGAGTCGCTTCGAAAGTTTGATGTAGAGTTTATCTACATGCACTTCGTAAGTTAGTTGTTCATCAATGATCATACCAAGAACTTTATGGTTTGCGACTTGTTCAATTTCTGCGTTATCCTGCCTCTCCTAGGATTTTCGAACCCCCAAAAATGGTATAATTGCCCATTTTTAACGCATTTTTACCCTAAAAAGGTCACCTAGAACTTCGGGAGCCTTTTTTCTGGCTGAAATTTTCGAAAAGGTAAGTTCTGATCCCTATAATTTTCGGATCACTAGACTTTCAGCTAGGAAATCCGAACAGATGAAAAATTTTTAGGGGATAAAAATATGCCTATATCTATCGTTTAAATACTAAAACAGGTTGAACAATGCTATGCTTAAGTGGTTTTGAACTATAATCTCGTTGGGTGCCCCTGATTGATTAATTTACTCATTACCCCTCGCGAACTCATTTAAGATAGACTAGTACAAAACATTTAGGGCTAAGGACCTTACAGCAAAGCACTGGGAAAAATACAAAACATAATATAAACAGCATTCCAATACATTTGAAAACTAAACAAACTAGACCATGATTTTGTCCTTAATGTCATTTTTAGGTAAAAATGAGGGCAGAATACAATGCCACTAACTTGTAATAGAAGAGGACCCTTGTTGTTGGACAAATGTTATTCTTCATTGTACAAGATTAAGATCGATCGTCTTGAGTAAGAGTGGCTTTAGTAGACTATAGGTAAAAAGAAAATGAAACAGTAGTTTCTGTGCTGAATGTTATCAATTACCGTAGCTCACTGCTGCCAATAAGTTAATTGTTAATGCAAAATCTAATGACTTTTTTCAGAGGATGACGATGATGAAGATGACGACGATGATGACGATGATGATGATGACGATGACGACGATGATGATGACGACGACGATGACGACGATGATGACGATGAAGGACCAGGAAACGGAGGCAATGAGACGGATGATACTGGACTTCAAACGTTTCAAAGTCTCCCAATACTCCAAAACCTAATGCCCTTCAGTGGAATGACATCTAGTGGGGAAATTGTTACTGCCCTAACTCTATGTCTCAAATGTTTAAGTGTTATGTTATGGTTATTAATAATCGTTTAGTTTAATTTCTTGAAGCTGGGATGCTGGTCATCAAGACACAGCTGCATTCAACTATTTTGAACAGTTACATTTCTTTTTCTACATTTAAAGGAACCGTTTCCTTATCAAATATGAATTTAAACAAACACAACCACAACAAAAACAAAAAACAAAATTAAAAAAACATTGAAATTAAATCTACGTGGCTTGAAAATTAACTACCTTTAGTTAACTGCACGTTACGTAGCATCTTTAACAGAAAAAAATAGTACTGATGAACAAAGTTTAATCGATTTATACACTTTATCAGCAATGTTTAGGTCATTACACTTCATCACCTTGCATGGCAAACTGTGCAAGTGAGCAACTGACTATACGTCTACTACACCATAAACAGTGCCCCCTGTACATTAAGATAAATGACAAAATGTGAATTAGATCACTGTTGTAAAAAATAAAATAAGCTCTAAGTTTATTGGACCTTGTTGGAAAACGTTTGGCCCCTGCAAAAATGCTCCCCCCACACAGGGAAACATATACAAAACAGCAGAAATGGTTACTTCAGAGTGTTCTCTGCACAATATGCAAGCCTGCACTACACTGGCTCGTAATTGAAAACAAAAAACAAAAAAAAACAAAAAAAAAATATAAAGAATATGAGTTATTTTCAAAGGGGAAAAATTGGCCCTGGCAAAAATGCCACTGATCAGGTAATTATCTGTAACCCCACCAGGTTGAACAAAAACAGTCTATTGAAATGTTACCATCCTTTGCACTCTTTATTAGCTGTGAAATAAGTGAAATACAAGATACAAGACTGGATCAAAAATGCGTACAAGACAAAACATACGATTGTCCTCTGCACCACAGCAGATCTGTCTGACGAAGCTAATTTTTCTTGCGTGGAGGTATATGGAACTCAGTCGGGAATGAACACTTTGGAGGTGTTCATGATGGACGCACTGATCTTTTAATATGAGAAAAAACTTTGTGCAATTTTGATATTTGCTTATCAGAGTATGGCAACCATTTCTTTTTAATTTTTGAAAAAAATGCCTAGCCGTTGTTTTGCTTCCCAAATAATAAAAAAAAAGGTTGCTTGGCAGATGTTTTGGCGCCTTGTTGATAAGTGAACCAGATGGTAGTTTACTCCAAGTTTACTCCAAGTGATTTATATGAGCTGTTGATGACAGTTAAGGGTAATCACCTCATAAACCAGCGAATGAATAATTTTATACTCCGTTACCCGAATACCGGGGCTTAAGTATTAAACCAGGGTAGGCTTTCTTTCCGCTCGCATTGGCGCCCGCACAACTTGATGCTCGGGGCTTTGACACTAGTTTACTCTCATAATATCGCGTTTGCTCACAGATTTTCGAGCAAAAGAGATTTTTCTAGCAGTCCATCAGTCTATCCTTGTGTCTGTCTAATGTTTCGAATGTTTCTTCATATAACCTCCATTTGCTCTTTGAGAGGCAAAACATCTCTCTTATCGCTGACCCAGTCCTCATGAGGGCGGGTTATCAGAAGTTTTCTGAATAACAAAAAAGCCTAAAAGTCTGAGGTCCACTGCTCTATAGATTGAAAAATCTGTCGTTTGAGTGGCACTCTAGTAATTGAAATTAACTTCTCCAGATTAATATGCTTATAAATTCAATGATGTATTCCCTCCTCCATCTGAGTATATATTTTATTTTATTCTTTTTTTGTTTTTTTGTACAGACGATCAAACATCAGCACCTGACGTTTTCAGTAGCTGTCTGTTTATCTCTTGCGAGCATTTTTACACGTGTTTAGTGATGATTAGTTACTGTGGCTACTTGATATGACGTCATAAATTGTAGGTGTTCAAGCCATTTTTGAGTGTTTTTTTTAAACTGGTTTCAACGATAACAGTAAAGTTAGGGGGCATAAAACGAAGAGAACTTTTTATTCATGTGTTATTTAACATGTCCAGCACAAAAATATATCACTTCCGTCCGTTTTTTTACCTGATTTCTAAATCTTGGCAAAACCCAAGATAGCAGCCAAGATGCCGACCAAGTTTGTTGACGTCACAGGCTTTCAGCAGCGCCACCACACATAAAGTTTACTTCATTCTGTCGAGAGAGTCAAAGGCTTTGCACCGATGGTAAAATCGTTAAAAACTCGAGGGGGAGGTTCCATCAACCTCCCCTTGTATTACGGAGGGGGTATGACTTTGCGTGTACGTCCGAGGGATAAGCAGACCTCGGTACGGCTATTACTTAGTTCAACCTTCTCGGGTAATGATTCCCGTGGGTTCATATGAGAAGCCTTTTTCTGAGATCTGTTAGGACGAACATGGAAAGGTGAAATACCACAGAACAGACCTTGGACAATTCTAATTAAAGGTACTTCACCATTCCATATTAGTTGTTTCCGGAGTACATTTGAAATTGATAAGAATTCCTGGGTAGCATTTCCAGAATACAAATTAATGTAATTATTAGCTTGTACTTGTTTTTTTTTTTTCCTCTCATCTTTTTTCTTCCTCAGCTTTTCGCACTTTCCGGTTGACTGAAACACGCTAGAAACTTTACATTGCCAACATCACTAAGAACTTAATATAATATTTTATAATACCACAGTCACATAAGATCTCCTAAAGAGTGGATTACAAATATTAAACCCATTGGCCTTATGTGGTATGCAAACTAATAGCCGTGTGGTATAAGAAAAGTCTGCTAGAAACGTAGATAACAGGCCTAATATATCAAAAAGAGTACTTAAAAAAAAAAGGATTTTAATTCAGCCCATTTCACCTTTAAAGGCTTTTTATTATCAAAATTTTTTTTAAGTTCTAAAATTAACACCTTATGTTATTTTCCGTTGCTTTTACATACGCAGATAATCATGTTTCTAAGTAACAGAATAACATAATATGGATCTAACCTTCATTATTGTAAATATGATACAACTATAAGTAAGCGCAAATATAAGTATAAGACAATCGTTATAAAAACTACCTTACCATTACCATATGCCAAGTTCCTTGACATCATGACATCCAAGAGTCTCTTCCTTTTCAGCTTGGTAACTTTTTTAACCAAAGTTAGCTGCAGCCCTTTGCCAAACCCAGAAGGTATGGAGATCAAAATAGCAGCCTCTTTTTCGGCTATAAAAGGTTTTTCGTGTATGTAGCTTTAGTCCTAGAGTTGGTTCGAACTTTAAAAAGATAAAAACAGAAAACTATTTATATATAATCTTTATACGTTCGTGTCTTCCCAAAGTCAGCTAATTCTTAAAACTGATAATGCTGTCTTGGACTGTTTTGATAATATTTAATTTTTGAACTGGTTTCTCATTGTTTGCACTGAAGCTGAAGACAAAATGTTTTGCATTGAGCAAAAAAACAGTAGGGAAGTTAAAAAAAAATGTCTTGTCCGTGTCAACTTCCATGAACCCACAATTGTTACCTTCTTTACTTTAATTTCATACATGATTTATTAAATCAGAGGCTATTTCTGAGTGTTCGTGGAAAAGTTAAACAATAGACTGCGCTAAAATACTTTATATGCAATGAAATTTGACACGTCGTGTTATGGAAGCTGTAATGTACGTAATGTAATCCAATCAGCGCCGTAGTACAACTAGCTACATTTTACAACTCAAATTACACACAAAAATATTAAGCTGGTAAAATAATTTAGTCGATTTTTCGCAAGTTAATATACAGAACTTCTAGATTTAAACGTTTTACTTGGGCATGCTCCCAAACCTGTTGCTGTTGTTTTCTTTTTTAATCATGTGCGCGGCTTTAAATAAATCATCATATTGAACAGTAATGAATATGATTAATACTGTTGATCAGAAAGCCTAAGGCTGTTTTTTGTTCTTTCTTTTCTTTTCTTTTTTTTTTTTTTTTTCCTTTTGGGGGGGGTGCTCTCGCCACCATACATTAATATAAGAGCTTGTCGTTCTATTAATCTATTCCAAATATATCTATTTTTTATAGTAAAACTATGTCAGGGGCACCCAACAACGGAATGTTTCGAATTACGTCAGAAGTGTCTCAATGATTTTCTCTAGGCTTTAGAAGCCTGTTTGGTTAACTTGGAGCTGCCCCAAAAACCATCTCTTTCACGGGATGTCGGAGTGGAACTTAGAGGTCTTTAATTTTTTTTTTCTTCTCATCCAAAACTGCAGTAGTGTTAGCTACGCCGGGTTCCGGTCTAAATCTGGAGGTTATTTAGGAGCCACTCTTTTATTGGAAAATCAAAGGGAACCTTTAAATCTTTGTCTCAAAATGTCCAATGATTTTTTTTTTTCAATATCTTGATCTTGTGAAAATCAAAACCCCCAAAAATCGTAGTTAGGTTGGGAGAAAAACTTCATTAAGATGTCTAGGCAATGCTTACTTTTCAGAACAAAAATCGTTGGGTGCCCCTGAATATGTCACCTTCGTAGCTAGAAAATGGAAAATATTTATACATATTTCCAATTTAATTTTTGAATTTTTTTTTGACAAACAAGACGATGGCATAAACGAAATCCAAATGGGTAAGGACCTAAATGACGACACAGGCGTTGACAGTGATGATATGGAAATAGGTCAGCCTGATCAGGGGGATATAGATGTGGACAGTGATGGTACACCGACTAGGGATGACACAGATGGTGAAGATGAAGGTTTTGCACAAAACCGTGGTAGTAATGGTTGGCAAAATGGAAACGATGGCGAAGATCTTGATGACTCTGACAAACATAACGCTGCTAATCGCCAACAAAACAAAAGAGCCGAAAGAGGGCCTAAGAATAGAAAACAAGGTACGAACAGTGACGAGGGGAAAAAAGGAAGTAAGGGTCAAAACACCGGAACGAGAAGGCAACAGCTGATGGGGACATCAGGAGGATCGCGGCCAACAGCGTGCATCGTTTCTTTCGGTTATGTTTTTATCATGTTCTGGGCTTCAAAATGTGCGTAAAACGAAGATGCATTCTAACGTCAGGTCAAAAAGATTGTGTTATATATAATGTATATTTTTGTTCTTTGAATTAAAGGATGAATATGAGTTGACACTAAGAAATTACTTTATTATATAAACACCAGTGAAATACCAGGTGAGCTTCACACTTGAAAATAACATGTTATTTTCACATGGCTATCACATGTGAAAAGATCACCGTTGCTATGGCTACATAATAAATCGCACCTTTGGCAGCAAAAAATACTTAGTAGTGAAATGGTTTGGAATTTCTTAGGCGTTTATATAATGAATAGAACATTGCATGGCCTCTTGGAGATACGAAATTTCTCTTCTCTTGTTGAAAAATGTTTTGTCAAATATATTTGCCCGAAAAATATTTTTCGGAGATATGAAAAATTTATTATCTCCGCGCGGCCACGTAATATCCTCTATTTAAAAATAGTTTTATCTTAGTATAGTGCTCTGTTTCTTTTTCAAAGATTTCTAAAATAGATGAAAGAATAAAGAAGAACAAAAAAGGTACCTCGACATCTAGAATTGTTATCAGTTTCTCGATAAGAGTTCAAATTAAGAATTAATAGATCCGTAGTTCTTTTAAGAATATCCCCTTAAAAAGGGGATGTAGGCATGGACCTTAATCAACACTAATTTAAGTCGAACAGGGAATAAGAATGTCGTTTCTTCTTGAATGATTTCGACTATAGAGAAGAAATCATGTTATGGTGGGTAATTAAAATGGCTTTAAGAGAATGCTGCTGATTCTGTTTTTCTTTTCTTCCTTTTTTTTTCGCATTCAATTAAAAGTGCCCTTGGAAAGTGTATTTTTTAGGGTGTTAGGTGTCTGGATCGGGCCGAAGGGTTTTAGCAGTCTTTAAAGGCTGCTCCTCTTGATTAGAAAACAAATGATTTGATTTATTTACCAACGTTCACAAGTCTAATTTAACATAAGGCTTACATAAACGTATTGATGACGTCATGAACATGTGTATGTTCGCTTTACCTCAAAAGGAAAATATTTTTATCCATTTAAGGAGATACCGAAAATACGAATAATCGCGCGGCCGATTCTGCTGTCCAAAAAAAGAATGATTAATTGCAAGGTGGAGCCTATTTTCAGAGATAGCACAAGAGATCGACTGATTATGAAAGCTGGTGATTATATCAAAGATGAAAACACAGTGGATCTTCAGTATCTGTTGCAGCCACCGCACCATGCAAAACCTCTTTTTTATTTATCTTTTTCCTCTTTTAGTAACTTCAAAATGAAATGAATACCGTTGAACTTTGCCCCAAAAAAGAGTCTGGTCGTGAGTATAGATATTATGTGAGAACGCTCTATTATTATGCTAAGACTTGTTACAGAGAAAACTGACCTAATGGTTTTACTTCCTCAAAAACAGAAATGTTGAATTTAATATCTGCAGTGTTTCCGACGTCTTCAACCTTTATTTTCCATTGACAGGAATCTAATAAAATGTTTTTTTTTTTAATTTAATTCATCTATTCCTAGGAAAATAAACAACAAAATTGAGCTCTGTTCAACGTAAAAACCTGTCCTATAATATGGAGTCCTTAATGACGAATTAAATACGTGGGTTTGTTTAGTCCAACTTCAATATTTTCCCCCGGAGATCTTGGTTCTGTTAGTACCGTAGATGTGCCCAAGCCATCTGTATTGATAGAGTTGAATCTAAAATGTGTCCGGCCTTTTGCTGGGCAAAATCCATCCTTAAACTTTTCTTACGATTGTTAAACAGAGATGGATTTTTAAAATTAGAAAAAACTCGACTAAACAATATTTTATTTTATTTTAAGCTAAGACAGTGACTTTCACAAATACTGTATTATTTTTCTAACACGTGCACTGATCTGCTTTTCAAAACATGCAAAAATACGGATTATGTACATTTGTAAACTTCCTGCCAGTGAAAACAAGAAAGTTTAATAGACATAATTGTAGACATCAAAAGCATAACCTGAAAGTGTTTGTTCGAGATTATATTGTTCAAACTATATTTTATTAGTTCAGTTTTCTTCGTGGCGGTCATTTCCTTTAATTGGTGATATGGATAATATGATCAATATGTTCAAACATTTTCTTGCTGCGATGAGAGATACCTGTAGCTAGTTTTAGAGTCTGTTGAACCCTTCGGTTCTTATGTTTCCCCGGCCCGTATATAACACGCGCCGTAAGTATATGCAGTTGCTAATGTTATAGGCATATAATGTTATACGTACTGCTTATTTGTATTTTATTGTATATTTTTTTTTGGGGGGGGGGGGGGGGGGAGTGGTATAGACCGTCATCTTGGAATGAAGACGTGCAAAGTAACCTCAACACTGACCATGCCAGGCAGACAACACGAACTTAAATCCTCAACTGAACGGCCATAAAGAAAATGATGTTTTCTTGCGGTTGAAAAGAAAGACGTTTTTCCCAAAAACCTCTCACAGCTGTAAAGGGCCATCAGTAAGAATAACAAAGGAAAACCAACCAAAGGGAAATAGTATGATAGGAAAAAAAAAGCAAAACAAAACGGGGAAAATATACATTGAAGCTATATATATATATTTTTTTACATTACGATGCAGAAACAAGTATTACTAAACATTTAGAGGAAGGAAGAGGATATGGTTATTTTCCCTGTGTATCAAAGCATCAAAGTTAGTATAGAGAGATTTAGAGTTACATTTACCACAAACGGCAAACAGCAGACTCAAGTTGAGAATTTCTCAAAGTAGATAATAAGCATATAAAACAGTCTAAAGCAATTATTATTGATGAATATAACGTTAAACTTCTTAATATTTTGAAGAAGTAAAGAAAAATAAAATACAACGTAACGGATACTGAAATTACACTTGGTCACGAGGCACAAAATCACGTTTTCCTTTTGCAGTAAATTACAAAAAGTACATGCAGAGTATGTCTTGGAAAATGCAGCCTTGTCTCTTGTCTCTTGAAGTTCAAGTAATTTTCAGGCCAAAAATCAAATATTTAAATCTGCAAAAATCTTAAGAGGACCAGCTCAGGTTCCAACGTTCAATATGACGTTCTTCCCATTTGACATTATTAACCAATTAAAACTTCATGTTAAAATATTAAATTAAAATTAGTCACAAGATAAATTGCACCACTGCTGTTTTATCTTTGGTGTTTGCAGCCTTTCGTTGCCAGTCTCCTCTACTAACTATGGTTCAACGCCCTTCGTTGCTGTATATTTGCGGCCCGCACAGGGCAGCTACCTATTTTTGTCTTGAAAGCGTCTGAGAACTCGATTTGGTGGGTAATTTGTTTGGAAGTTTGGAAATTTGGAAGTTTGTTTGGCTGTTTTACCATTTCCCAGTCCCATACGCGTAGCACCCTACCCAGCATGTTAGTAAAGTAAAATGGTGGCTGCATTTTTTTAAGCGCTAGAAAGTGAAAATCTATTATTCTTTCTGAACACGCTTTAAAAGGAAATGGCGATAAACTTGTTTAAGAGTGTCTTAGCACTCTTGAATCTCCGACCGCTTGGTTAGACATTCGCGAGTATTACGTGAGTGCATGGGAATATTACCCGTTAACGCAGCCCTTAAGTTTGCTTGTAATGTCAGTTGTAAAGTTAATTATTTTGGTAAAGTAGCGAACGTTTAAGTGATGCCGGATTCGAGGGAGAGACAATGTTCCTTCATTATCACAGCACTGTCCTTCCATGAGCCCAACCAGTTATCAGCTGTGGATCATTGTGGATCACCAAACACAATCGATGAAATCTTCTCACGGGGAGACAATTACTTTCAAAGCGCCCTGAAAAATCAAGTCAGCACAATCGCTTTTAGTTGATAACCTTCCTGTTGTAGTTCACTACTTTTTCTAAGGAGGTGAATGGAGCAACGAGGCGCACAAACAGGGTTATAATAAATTGAGGTCATAGTTTGCTCCGGCAAAGAGGAGAATGAAACAAGCGGTTTGCTTATCGAGGTGGGCAAACTGAAATAAGGTTTTCCTGTTAATTTAAATTACTTAATTGTATTTCCTGCTTATTTGATTTTGTAATAAATTTCAGATATAACATGCACTCTGATTGGTTGAAAAAGCATGCTTTATGAGAGTAACAAGTAGCTAAAATGTCACGTCATCTCGGCTTAAAAGTTTATTTTGAAAATAAACGTAACCCCTGGGGAACTTATAGGATTATTTATCATATATCGAATTTCTACGTCTTGATTATACTCTGTTTTGTTATAACACAATTAGGAAGTGGTTAGAGCACCTAAGAAGTAGGGAGAAACACTCGGCTATAGGTCTCATGTTTCACGCTACGGTTTTTTATCGCGCCCTCTAGCCGCTTCCTGCGTGTGAGCAAAGTCAAGGCTAATTAGTATCTACTTTTAGCCCTCGCACATGCAAGGGAGGAGTGAACACCTCACGAATTGTATTTGGGCAAATATAATTCACCATATATAGAGAGAAGAAAATAAATAACACAATATAAAAGCTTATTACAATTAAAATTAAATTAGGTAAGAGGGTCTCAAGAATTATATTATTGTTATTAAGATCGTATATGTTATTCACCGGCTGGGAGGTCCGTATTGAGAGAAACAGTGCCCCAGGTCTTGAGTACTCAGGCCGAGGGCACAGTTTCTCCCAATACGGACCTACCTAGGCCGGTGAATAACATTTTTATTTTTTCCTGCTGAGATTTAAAAGTTTCAGGAAAATTTTACTTCAGCCTCCAACCTGTGTGTGTTGAAGAAGGGCGTGTTCATGTTGATGTTATTCAAACTGAGCGCGCGAGCGATTGCAAACCAAAACAAAACATTACAACATGATTTTTAACGTGTAATTTATATTATCACGATTAAGCTCTCCTTTAGAATAAAGAGAGGTTTTTGTGTCTTGGTAGACAATTCATAATCTGAGTGTCAAACAAGGATAAAAGAATTGACGAACTAAAAGCCACAGGAAAGGAAATAGATCAAAGATTTTCTTCGGCTGAATATTTTCTTTAAGATTAATTCAATCGAGCGGAATAAAAACTGCACAAAGCTTTATAAAAATAGCTAATTACGCATACCAATCAGGGGCACCCAACGACAATTTTCGGAAAATTATCTGTTCGGAAGACGATTTGAGGTCTAGAATTTTCGGATCATTTTCTGAAAAATTTCTTGCTTGCCTGCCTCTCCTAGGATTTTCGAACTTCAAAAAAATCGTATAATTGCCCATTTTTAACGGATTTTTACCCTAAAAAAGGTCACCTATAATTTTCGGGAGCCTTTTTTCTGGCTGAAATTGTCGAAAGGGTAAATTTTGATCCCTATAATTTTCGGATCACTATATTTTCAGCTAGGAAATCCGAACAGATGAAAAATTTTTAGGGGATAAAAATAAGCCTTTATCTACCGTTTAAATACTAAAGTACGTTCAACAATGCTATGTTTATGTGGTTTTGAATTATATTCTGGTTGGGTGCCCCTGTTCCAATCTTAGGGTTTTGAAGTGAATTCGAATAAAAGAAGGCGACGTGGGTAACTAAACAATTATATAAGCAAAGAAATAAAAACAGCGATAACTGACTGCTGGAAAAGTTGTTCGTGCTGTTTATTCAAGATTGGAAGCTACATGCAACGTTGACAACAACCTCTTCTGAAAAGAAGAGGCAAAATTCAATGAAAAACGGCAAAATCTAGATTCAGACAGCAAAAAAGGAAAACAAACCTACAAGCAGAGGAAAAATGTCGAATAAACGGTGCATAAGAGAAAGGTTGCAGTATACTTACAGCGTAGTTGTAAAGCTACTGAAGCGACATCACGAGCCGCCTGTTTTGCTTTGCTTTAGCGGTTTTCCTGGCTGACTTGCTTGATTCTCCCTTCAGATGTTTTCTCTGAATAACAAAATTCACTTTTCCCTAGCTAACGCTGATAATAGCGCAAGTTTTAAAAGAAAAATGGTTAAAAATATGCTCATTCACAAACAACAAACAAACTTGTGAATGAAGCTGCCAACGATTCCGCCCGAGTTGGCGAGCAAGATCGTAAAAAACTGCCCGCTCTCGGAACCAATCAGATTGAAGGATTTGGAGGATTCCGCCCGCTCGCAAGCTTAGAAAAAAATAAATATATTTATTTTTTTGCAACTGACTATCGGATTATTATTTTTAGTGCTTTAATATTCGATGATTAACCACAAAGATATATATATGTTTTGTTTTTCGAGGCCAAGGTAAAATTTACCGACCTGCAAAATACATAAGGGTTTCTTGTCACTGGCAATTATCTCTACTAAGTATAAACATAGAGAACATTAAACAACAATTTTTAAAAATGATACTATATTTATTAATTTTTAAATCCTTTTTTGTTCAGTCTCAGAAACCTTCAGTGTACCTTAGTTTCCTCAACAGTGATATTGAATGAAACTAGGATTGAAGATAACTCATTGAGTCTGTACCTTAATTTAATTTTAAACTCATGGACAGTCGCTAAACGTCTCAAAATATTTAAGTAAATATTAAAACTTTTAGGGATCCACGGTATACGGCCACTAATTCTAATCAGGACGGGAAAAAGAAAAAGGAATAAATTTTATTTGCTAAAGTAAAGGCTACTTTATCATCTTCCGGCCCTTTTAATTTGATGAGATAAACTATTAATTCGTTGTATGTTAATGGAAGCAAGGATAATGAAGGAATCATTGGAAGACAATTATGAACTCAACTATTCAAGCCAAAATTGCTTTTCTGCTTCACTGAGATCTCAGTAGTAATATGGCAGAGAGAAACGCGTAATATACACACTCTGCGTTCACAACGTTCACAACGTTCAAAGGCGTTGAGATCATTCTGGACTTACTTACCAGTGAAAACTTCGTATAAATTTATTCAGTCACAATTTGAGAACAAAAACAAAGGATTGTGCACGGTCAGGGAGCTTGACGTTTGCCAGCTTAGCAGCCACCTCTACTAACTATGATTGAATCAATAAAACCAAAAACAGAATCAAAAATTTGAAAACAGGAAAACAAAATTCAAAACGGAAGAAGAAAAATTTAAACAGAACGAAAGATGATAAAAAAAATCCAAGACGCAAACAAAAAGCTAAAAACGAAAACAAAAATTGAAAACAGAAGCAAAAAAAAAAAACAAGACAAAACAAACAAAAAAGAACAAGCAGAGCCACTAAATAGCAAACTGACCTGAACTGGCAATACACAGCCCAAGACTATACTGACTGAAGTTGAATGGTAAAAAAAAACAGACATATTTCTAATTTTACGTTGCTGCATTATGATTTTTTCTTACCGATACACATCCATAAGATACTCATTGCCGCTACGGCAATCAAACTTTTGTGGACGCCATCTGGCGCACAAATGAACAAAAGGGGTTCTTATAGCAGACGTCCGTGGAATTATCTCCCCAATCCCCCTCTCTTTTCACTCCTTTCCCCTCGTTTTCAAACCCCCGGCCTACCACGCAGGCTACTGGTCAATTCTATTTTGACTTTATATACCTCAAAATATACTTTAGCATAGCAACCGATTTTTGACGGCGATGTTTGCAAGCTTCCGTTCTTGAAGAATCGTTTCATTTTTAGATTTAGTTGAAGCCATTATCGCAAAAAAGTTCTTGGCATTCCATTAACTTTAGAATTAATGCAATCAATGTATTATTCCAACAGTGAAAACGAAAACAAACCTACAAGTTTGGATTACTTGAGCACGTAAATCCTGCTTGCCTTTATTACTTCAAAATAATAATGATTACAGAATAATCACAATGTTTTACTTTTAAATTCTGCGCCGTTTTATAATGGCAATTGAACTGAGTGCAGAGCAAGTATGTATGATTTCAGACCAAAATTATACGACACGAAGTTCAGTTGCCACTTTATTACAGCTTCTTCAAAATTGCAATATTTTATTGATGGGCCTATATGATTTGGATCTGTCGTATTCTCTTGTGTCTACTGACAGTTCCACATGTAAATATAACCTCATACACACTATTTACCAGTTTAAAATTAGATATGCAAGAACTAATGTTTTAAAATTTTCTTACTTCTTTAGAATAGTAAAGTCATGGAACTCTCTGCCTCTACATTTAAGAAAAACTGACTCTTTAGACGATTTTAAGGATTACCTGAAATCCTTTCTGCACACGAAGGATATTTCTACATTCTCTTAATTTATTTTTCTTACTAGTTTAATTAACAATTTTTCCACTAGGGCGCGTTGGATATGAGATGGTAAATAGCCAAAGAGGCGCAAAGCGCCGAGTTGGCTATAATAATCTCATATCCAAGAAGCGCGAGTGGAATAATTGTTTTATTAAAAACGCCCACAAAATTTCGTTGAATCTGCCCGACTTAATTTTGTCTGAACAAACCGGAAAAGACAAGGGACTTCTGCTATATTCACATGTCACACGTCGACTCTATGAAAACTGTCAACACGCGAACAGACTCGCCTGGACTGGATGAATGAAAACTTAAAACATTGTAGCGATGAACACTTTTAAAAACTCATCGAGATTCTAGGATTTTACACAGCAGGACAGCTAAAAAACCTGGATGATAATGTACGTGAAGAAAAAGAATTTTTAAGTAACAGCCGTCGAAATTACTGTGAGTTAGGATTTTCGTTGCAGTTACAAAAGTAAGAACAACAGAGAAAAACTATTACCCCTGTCGCTTGTTATGAAGTTGTTTGAAGCCACCAGCTGGTTTAGCTGAACGAAAAAAGATGCTATACTGACGCCTCGATTGCTGTAGTGAATGGCTGCATAGCCTGTATTCTGGTTGCTTGTGATTTATGTTCTTCATGTCGGATAAACAAGCCGCAGTTATCTATCGGCGAGTGACTCAGGGAGTGGCTTCGCAATCATGAAGAAACAACACTTATCTTCTTTCGTAGCTGGTCAAGGCACTTTAGTTCCATGTATTTTCATGTGTTTTTCGATAAACTTTCAAACAAGTTCTTGTGGCTTTTTTGTTTGTTTGTTATTTTCCCGATGAAATTGCATTTCTAGCTTTAAACTGACGCATACACCATCCATATATGGAGAGCATGGTATAATGGCTCATATACGAAAATGGCTAAGCCAATTAAAACGCTAGAATTGCATTATCAAATGATTCAGTTTTTAATAATAATTGTTATATTCTAGTCTAATATTGCACATGATTGCCACTTATCTAGCAATTTATGATTTTTTATTTTAGTTGTTTTTATTTCTTATTTATTGTGAATTTAGGTAGCCCTTCAGGGAGGGAAGTTGTTTCCTGTTTAGCGCTTTCTAAGTGTGTATTTTATATTGGCAAACTATTAAAGTAAAGTATAGTAAAGTATCAAGTGACCGGTTTTATGAAAAGCGAAAACCGATAAACGTATAACTTAATAACGTACATATAAAAAAACACTAAGTGTGAGAAAAATATTTAATGCAGTTTACAAGTCAAATGTCAGTGCGCATATAAGTCAAAAAATGCATCTATCTGTCAGTGCGCATACGTTGTGATATCATATTGTTCGCCGTACAAAAGCGATTGTCTACACTTCGGCTTCTTCGGGCTCATCTGTCCCCTCGGGTTCCTCTGTCTCCTCCGGTTCCTCTGTTTCTTCAGGGTCTTCAGGTTCCTCAGTTTCTCCCTCGGGTTCTTCAGTTTCTCCCTCGGGTTCTTCGGTTTCTTCCTCCGGTTCCTCGGTTTCCTCTGGTTCTAATATTTGCACGTAGTAATAAAAGCAAAAAAAAAAAAAAAAAAAAAAAAAAAAAATGTAAAAAAGAAGTCCATGTCTAATTAACACTGGTGATCTTCATCGCAAATGGGTAACGTAGCAGCGAGGAAAAGAAATGGCATACGCAAACATTAATACCATTATTATTGTATGCATGTAGTTAATACTTTACTTTAACCAAAGATTCACCTTTTAGAATTTGCGAGTTTTAATTTCATTGAATTCTTAATACACCGAATGCAAATATGGCGGATCTCTCGGTCGGCCCGGGTCTAGTTGCGCGAAAGCGAGGCTAGTGAGGCCACGATAGTTTTGTTTTTGACTGCGCGTCTTAGCGATTCAGTCGATCAATATGGTTTCCTTCGAGTTGCTATGTGCTTAATAGCCATCAAAGAGGAGATTTAACTCCAGTAGACGCGAAAGTTGATTTTCTTCGCTTTGCCAAGGTTCTTTACGAAGAAAGAAATGGATTCAAGCGATTCGGCGAGGCGAATGGAGGCACTTTACTATCACGGAGTTAAAAGAAGGAAAGTTTGCTCGCCTCACTTCAGAAGAGAAGACTCACGAAACTATTAGAATGGGTGAATAGCTGAAAGATTCATGGTTCTGTTTCAAGTTTGCTTTGTCCCGGCGTTCTCTTACCAAGGAAAACGAATGGAGAACGAATGGATCTGCCGTTGCCACTTACCAATCTTTAGGCGCTCTCAGGGACACAACGACATACAACAAGGCCGAGTGTTTTCACAGTCTTCACGATCCTGTGTTTAAGAGTTTGAGTAGTGCCATAAAGAAGCAATTTTTGGAAAATCGCTGCTAGTTTATCTCGAAACCATTCGACAAGTTGCTAAAATAGATCACGCGCAAGGTGAATACTTGCACGCTCTTTCTCTGCCAGAACCTTTTTCTTACTTTCTTAGTTGGCAACGGTTCCTCTGTTAGCTTTTTCAGTGCACTTTGGTCAAGGACTGTTCTTGAAATATGTCGCTTTCTTCAGGTTCTTGCATAGTTTCACAGGCCACGCTTGTAGGATTAACAGGCGATTGTTATTGTTGTTGTTATACTTTAATGCAGCTGTTTTCAACGTGAAATCTAAAAGATCTTGCAGTCCACAGCGGATGCTCCCGTTCTCGAGAATGTTTACCTTTTGTTGGATAAATAACAGACCATGCAAACATCTTGGAACAGCACCATCTCTTGTGAAAATCATTTCATTCAAATACTTTCGTGAGTCCTCTCATCTAAAGCAAGTTAAGCGAGCACACTTTCGCTGTAAAGTGCTTCCCATTGCCGCGCCGAATCGCATGAATCCTTTGTTTCTGCGCTAAGACGCGCAGTTAAAACAAAACTCTTGAGGCCTCACTAGCCTCGCTTTCGCGCAACTAGACCAGGGCCGGCCGAGAGGTCCGCCATATTTGCATTCGGTGTATGAATAATTTATCTTCTATTAACGTAATGCAATATTAAGGATCAGGGTCACCTTCAAAAATGAATGAATTAAAAAAAAAAAAAAGTTTATTATTCATATTACGTCGTTATTGACTTGGCAGCAAAGAGGGGTTACTGAGACAACAATTTGGTGATTTAAACGTTTTCCTTGTTGTTGTTGCTGTTGTTGTTGGTAGTAGTGGATCCTGTTCGATTACTTGGACAGTAATAAGACCCTACGGGAAGTGTCTTTCAAAGATGTTTCTCCTAGCGAAGCATGAAGTCGGTCTTCCATCCAGAAATTTGACTCAAAATACCGGAATGCCACTCTCAGAAATAGTGCATAAACTACCTTTCCTTCTTTATATATTTCATTTTCATTTTCTTTTGTTTTTGAATAAATTTATATTAAGTTTTAGTGACAATGTTTCAGGTCAACGATCAATCGCATATTCAAAGATCACATGTCGTAATCACTCGTAAATGAATACTGCCATAAAGTTCTTGATATCAAAAAAGTTCACAGTAAATTTAGGCGAAGCGAATCCAATTTGCAAGTTTAAAACACCTGTTAGAAAGGGGAGATAATTATTTTTGGACACAAAAGTGAAGCCACATGCGTCGACGCTTGTCATTTGAAACCCAAATGTAAAAGTAAAAAACCGTTTAAGCATGTCAAGACCGAAACATGAATATAAACGAGGAAAAAGCCTTAAATTTTGATGACACGAAACAGGTAATACCAAGCTCGGCAGTACAGAAATCCGCTACATCAAAATGATGAGTAAACCACTTATGAGTTTTGTTTCTTCAATCTCGCTTAAAATAATGGATACGTACTTCCGGAATCATTAAGCATAAATGAGAAGAAAACAACCACTTACCTTGTTGAGGGAAGCTGTCCAGCTGACCCACCAAGAAAACAAGACAAAAAAGAAAAAACAATTTGAATTTCATCTTGGCTTATTCAACCTTCCTCCCAGAATGATGTTTGGCTCAATGAAGTTTTCACTTTCACTAAGCGATTTATTGAAGGCGACGATAATATCTTTATCAATATTAGCTTAAATCTGAATATTGGGCTTGAGAAAAACTACTCGAAGATTGCAATGAAACGATAACGCTTTACGTTTATATTTTTTTGTTCTGGGTAATTTTGAAAATTTCTGGTCGTTCTTGTGAATAGTTCCTTCTTTTATCTCTCTTCACCAGCATTAGATTACAGTATATGGCTAACGCACTAAACATAAGTTTGTTTACTTGGGATTGTCTGAAAAAGAATACAATATTGTCGTTAATGCATCTGGATAAAATGGCTAATTATGGAAAAGAATACGTAATGATATGTATGAATATGGAATGAGTATTTTTGATAAAACAAGTTCATTTCAAAGTAATTCTTTAAAGTTACTTTTCTTTTCATGATAAAGTTTGTTAGAACAGCGGACTTGCAGGATCAATCCATGCTCTATGGATTTGGTACTAATTCAGTTCTGATTAACCGTGTGAAGGAATTTCTTTCTTATTGAGATATTGACACTAAAACGGCTCACTTGTTTGCCCTTTAGCATTTCACCGATTCACAATAATATAAAATACTAAAATAAAAAGGGCTGCTGACGGAGGACTTGGCAAAATAATTCCTGTTTTCTTAGAGATCTTGCTACATGTCCAGCTTATTCGAGATTGGTGGCAAAACTAAAGGTGTAGTTATCCATTTGGTTTAACAATAAATGGCACTCAAAGTCTGCATGATTTTAAGCTTAACGTTCTTCCGAGTGCTTTAGATGTTGTCGCGGCAAAATGAGCTAAATTATTTGAACTATAAAATAAAGATAAATACATATTGACTCGATTTTACGCTAAGGTGACTTCTAGTAATGTCATAAAAAATAACGCGTCATATTTTCTCCAAGTCTGCATTGCCAATGCTGATATCAAAAACATCGCATCACGTACGTTTTGCGTGGAAACGTTCCTGTAAATTCTGGCAAATATATAACTCTTGACCTTCTTAGTTATTAAACTTAAATGATCTTTTCTGCCTTTTCACGCTGCCTAGCTTTTTTTTGAAAAAGTAAGAGACACTGTGATAATTTTTGATTAGTGGTAACTTACTTGAAAGTTTAATTACGGCCCAAAATTGAGTAAGACAACTTGGGCCACTTTATTAAAAACTCAATGTATCCGTGAGGCAATACTGCTTATTATAAAGTCAGAAAGCTTGGAAGCACGTTGAAAAATATCATGAGAAAAACAAACAGCGGCGAAGACTTCTGGAATAATTCATCCTGGAATTCTGCCCCTGAACGCTTTAGTTGACACTTAACCGTTTTGAAGTTCGATTGGGCATTTATTTGACTACTATTGACATCGTCATTTAAGTGACAAAAAGCAATACCAAATTAACGAACGATTGTTCTCGTCCAGCTGAACGCGGCAACAAAAAGCATCCCCGACAAAGCAAAATAGCCTTGAGGCCTGGTCTTGAGTATTCCGCTATTCGTGTCTTTTTTATTCTGGTTATAGGGTATTTCGGTGTTACAATATGAGTCTTTTTTTTTTACATTTTTGGTATTTGGTATTTAGACACGAATTTGTGTAGATATTTTGACAAGTGATCGAAATGTGTTCAACAGAAGTTCGCTAGGAGTTGGGAATGGGAAGGAAAGAATAAACCTCGTGACCGACAGAAGTGCACCAAAAAGTTATAAAGTCGAACCCCACTTTACAGACACAGCTTAATGGAGACAATGGACACTTTTTTTCTTGGCAATCAACAGATTGACATAAAGTCAACCTCGCTAATGCGGACACTTCATTGTCAACTGTTTGCTGTAATAAACCGTTCGTTTTTTATGGTTAAAAAAATTTAAGGGACACCATGTTGATGATCCCAACGCTATAAAAAAGGGACAGGATGAATTGAAGACGTCAATTTTATACTATTTTGGCATCAGACTAGTTATGCAGAGAACTGTGCGTATAAATGAGGGACTTTTGAATGTTTAAGAACATAGTCTGCAGAATGACGGGTTTTTTTCAAGGTTAGAGATGTTTAATTGGACGATGCTAAATGTCCCGATCTATTTATTTAGTATTTTTGTTAGAATAAAAAGTGTGCTTTTGATTTTAATATAGAATACAAGAATGACCCGCTTAATACAAAACCCTGCTAATACAGCCGACACTTTCTATGGCCTCCCTCAGTGCCTGTATTAACTGTGTTTGACTATACGTTGTATCTGGGTGAATTAATCAGCAGACTGTCCAACCATCCCAGTGCCCCAATTTTGATTAAAAGTCGCCGATCCTGAGCAATATCCAATCGTGATGGCAAAAATCCTTTTGACATGCGTGCTTAAGCTCGATAATTTCATCCAAATCTTATAATACTTATACCAGAACACCAAATACAGTGTAATCAGCTGAAACTGATGTTCCAAAAACTAAAGCTGCCATAAATATAACATAAATCGAGAACTTGTTCGCGAAGCCACGCAAAGTGACAAAGAGACGAAAGGGTTCTTAGCTACATCCGCCATCTTCAAGGGCCTTCTAAGTGCTTGGTCATTCCGATCGCGTACTGAGATACTGTTCTTCCAGTTCCAGTGGCTTTCAGTGTGTCAAAATATCGAAAGATATCTTCCGGCGTTTTCCACAAGTTATGAAAAAAAGAAAAAAAAAGTTATAAATTAGTCATCTAAGGCCAAGAGAAAGCGGTTCGACCGTCAATTTCAATCTGCATGGAAGTCACAAATATTTCCATTATTCACAGTCCCTCTCTGGAAAGTCAGTTTTGTCACTATCTTTTGTCATAATAATGACGATCAATTTACCAAACATTTTTGACTGTAATTGTCCTCTCAGAACACTAGAAATGGTGGTTTAGAGCTTCAACATTTCAAAACTTCCTGGGGGAGCATGCCCACATACCCCCTTGTGGCTCGAGACCTCGACGCCGCGTCATTTATCGTCTATAGTTAAGCAATATCCCGATTTTTTTTCACCTAAAATGGTTGGACAGTCTGGAGTCTCAGTAAACAGCTGAGAAACCATTTTTAGGTATAAGGCATTCTGTTTGAAGACAATTTCAGGTATTCGGTATCAAAGATTTTACAGTTTTAAGGTATATTTGGTATCTTACTAGGACAAACTCGGGTATATTGGTATCCCACCTTCCCCTTGGCCGGGCCTGAAATCTTTAAAAGAGCGTTTTTGTTTTAAATTTAAATTATTTTTAAAAAGTATGTTTCATTCAGTGTACCTTGTTCCAATTTGTTTGCCGTGCATTATCTGTGGGTTATATGTAATGAAGATAAATGCTGTGTTGTGACACATCCTGCGGCAGACATTCGGATCGCTTGGCTTGTTTACGTTCGCACGTATTGTGTGCCTATTCCAACTTTGAATTAAAACAAGCAAACTCGATTGCTGTATTTGGGTGACGCCCAAATAAAAATTTACAAGATACATTTTCTAATAATTTATGCAAAAATTCTAATATAAATGTGATTTTGCAATAATAATAATACTTGAATTGAACTTAGAGTTTAAAAGAACATTTTTTTCTCTGACCACATCAAACTCATTTGGACATGAGTAAATCAAGTCAACGCAAATAAGTTTCTATCGTATTTGGAGAGAATTGACTGGTCTCAGTATGCCACTCTTGATGATCCAAATAATGCCTATAACAGCTTTTTCAAACAATACTCTACGGCATGTGACTCATGTTTTCCTTTAAAAAAAACTACCCTTACCAAATCCAACACTGTTTTGAATGTATTTTTAAGCTATTTTTGAAAACTGTTTTTAACCTGTTTTGTGAAATAAGTTTTAAATAGGGTGAAAAGTGTATTTTTAATGTATTTTTCGACTGCTTTTAAAGGTGTTTTAACCTGTTTAAAATGCTATTAAAAAACAATTTTTAAAGTATTTTAAAATTCGTTTAAAATATAAAAAAATCCCAGGGCTTTTGCAAGGCTCAAGACAGGTCTAAAACAGTTTTTAAATACCTTATAAATCGGAATAAAAACAGGATAAAAACAGTTTTAAAAACATATTTTAATTTGCTATACTATTTTAAAACTATTTTTAATGGCAATTTTAAACGTATTTTGAAAAAAAACAGGTTTAAAATAGGTACAAAAATATACTTTTAATATATTTTTCGACTGATTTTAAGGGTGTTTTAACCTGTTTAAAACGCTATTAAAATGTTATGCTTCAAAATATATTTTAATAGCTGTTTAATCGGTCTCGAAATTTACACTGGACGAAAAAACGGATTTGCCTAAGTTTGCTAGTTGAGCAAATCTATTGTAAATTTAGGGTACTAATGTTGCTACTTATTTGTTCTTGGTGCAAATTTTGTTCGAAAGTGAAAGTTTAATTTTCTGTAAGGGTGGTGTAAATGTGGAGTAAATATCAAGTTTACAGATATTTTGTTTCACTTTTGCTCCCCATAGTAAATTTGGTGTTTAGATTCAAATTTGCCGACATTTTGTTCTCTGTGTAAAAATCGAACGTCAAAAATGAATGTTTGCTTGATATTTTCTGGCATAGCAAAGTTAATGTGTAAATTTATGGTTACTAGAGGCGTAAATTTAAGAAAAATGTGATCAAAGAACTATCTTTACGACCACTTTAACCAACGTTTGCACATTTACCAAACTTCACAGTGTTATTTCACGTAAGTTTTGATTTTCCATTGCCCCGTTTCAATCACCATCACATTCTTCTCAGAGTTTATCATTTTACTTGCTGCAGCTAGTTATTTCGGGTAAGGCCATTCCCCCTTTTTTTTCGTTTAGCGTCGAATGTGTTTCCTGATATTTGGGTCGGTGGCTCGGAAAAAAAAATATCACAAGAAGTGTCGGAATAGGAGGCCCTGACGTAAAACGTTACCATTTACAATTTGGGTGAACAAAATGCACAATATGTGAAAGGTTTGA